TGGGCGCTGCGCATAATCTGCAGAAGAGCCAGGGTTTTCAGGAAACAGAGAAGTAACTACTTCGGAGAGGTACTGGGGACAAAGGAGGTATGTGTCCTCCCACACAGCTGTGGGAAATAAGAGATACAATGTCAGCCCATTATTTCAGCAGCTTTTGATGTTTTACTATAATGCTGATGAGCACTGGACATAACTTTTGAATGGAAAATAGACTTCATTGCTTATTTGGAATGAATATGCCAAGTGCGTGGCTTGTCTTTTTACTTTTTATAAATCTTTAAAATGTAAAAATTTTCAATTTCTGGGAAGGCCAAGTCTCAGTTCTTCTATGGTTCTTGCCTGGGTCTCACCCTAGAGCTCCGCCCCGAGGTCATACGGGGGTCAGGCAGGCCTCCTCCTGTGTCTGCAATGCCTGAGGTCCGCTCTGCCTCCCAGGCAGATCTCAACTAGCCTCATTTCCTGTCTGGTCTCTGCCTCAGGCCACACAGCAGCAGGAGTGACTTCTAAACTCAGAGTGGATCAGCTCGGTCCCATGAGACACACCTCCATGTCTCCCCACTTCCTGGGAACAACAGCCAACCCTTCATGACAGAGGCAGCCTCTCCTCCCTTTTCCATGCGCATCCCATTTACTCCCTTCCGTGCACACGTCCGCCAGCCCCTGGCCTTTCTTTGTTCCTCCAGGACATGGACTTCCTCTCCAGTGGCTCAGCCTGGCTGTGTCCTCTGCCTGAGACACCCTGCCTTTGCCTCCTCTTCAAGCTTCGAATTTCACCTGTCATGCTTGTTCCCCAATAAAGGGCTTTCATTCCCTCCCTCACCTATTGTCCCTGCTCACTGCCTTACAGGACTGGAACCACGTCTGGCTTGGTTATTTATTTATTTACTTCTCTGCTTTCAACCGGATGTGAGCTCTAGGGACTGAGCGACTTCGTCATGGTCACTACTCCGTTCCCCGAGCGCCACCTCAGCACGTGGCACCAGGCAGGCGCGCAGGAGTACCTGAGGCTTCAGGAATGGACTATTACCCTTTCAGAGTTCTCTTTTCTATTAGGAGTCTCAGTTCCGCTCTAGAAGCAGTGACCCTTTTATAAATGCTGTGAATAACAAGAGGGGAGAAAATAAAAACAATAACTTTGAGCTTGCCATCTAACTTGTATAACTTTCCAAGGAACGTTTATTCACAGTATCTGAACTGCTTGTAACGCAGAGTGACTCACTGAGGAAGGACGGCCGTTCATCCGGGTTCTGTGCCCACCCGCCTTCGATGAGTGCGACCATCCGCGCTCGATGGGGGGTACCGGGTGGCAGGCTCTCTTCGCTGGTGTCGGGCCGGTGTCCTTGTGACACACTGTACATAATTTGCAAAGGGTTGGTGACGTCTATCGAAACAAACGTACATTATTCATTAGAGACTTTTTATGATCCAGTATGCTAAATGCATTCTAAAGCCAACCAAGGGAAAAGGAGGGACTCTTAAAGTCTTAGGACTAATTCACTGCCCTTTCTGCTAAAGCAACAGGTGCATCCCAGCCATCGCAGGCTTGCCTGGCTCCTCCGAGGAGTGTGAAGCACTGCTGCAATGCGCTGGGCGTGGGATTGATCTGGGCAATAGGCTGTGAGCAGCGCTGAGCTGAGCTCAACTTATTTAGACCCAGGAAGGCTACAGCAAGCATGTCAAACTCATGGGCTGCAGGCCACATGCGGCCCACAACGAATATTTTTGCAGCCCAGTCAACACAACGGTATGCAAGAAATGTTTTAATAACTTAATTTTTATAATACCCTATTATACATAATCTATAATAAGAGTGTAATATGCAAATCGACTGAACAACTGAACAACAGAACGACCATTCTGACTACCTTCCGGGCGATCGTACTATGACATGCACTGGTGCCAGGTCAGCCAAGGCAGGTGCGATGCAATTGGTTGGGGACCCCACAATTGCCCCACAGGAGGAGGCCCAGGCCACCCTCTGCAGTGATCAGTCCTGGAACCCTGGCCAGGTGGGCGGGGCCTCCTGGCTGGCAGCTCTGTGGCAGGTGAGCAGGGCCGGCCAGTGATCACCCTGCGGAGGGAGGCCCAGGGCAGCCAAGGGATCGCACCTCATGCCTGTCGCCTGCAGAGGGAGGCAACCAGTGGCGGGGGTGGGGCAGCACCACAGTGGTGGGGGCAAGGCCAGCTCCGGCAGCCAGGGAAAGAAAAGCCCTGAAAGGCCCTGTACACTGGCCAGGCCTAGGGACCCTACCTCAGGGGTCAGGGATTGCAAGAGGGCGCAGGCTGAGCTGACGGACAACCCCCCACTCCTGTGCACGAATTTTGTGCAACGGGTCTCTACTTATTAATAACAAACTACAAAGTTCGCTAATGACTGATGGCTATAATCGTGTTGCATTCATTTCCCTTATGCACCCAACGTGCAGGTGCACCATTTCTCTCCACTAATACTAGCAGCGAATATTTTAGCAGTGGATTGCCACGTCATTAGTCTTGGACTGACTTGTTTGGTGTGAGCAACAGGAAACATTTTGCTTTTGGAGGATAAGCAAAATAGGCTTATTTGTGTTACGCTTATTAATTTGTGTAGTTATTCAGTGTCTGGTAAGTTAATGTTCAAGAAAATATTCATTTTATTACAATGTCCTATTATTTTATGTGAACGATGACTCATTTATTTCAGCCCTTTGTATTCAGCATGTCTCTATCGAAATAAACTATTTCTATGAAAATTGAAGCTTTTATTTTTTGCGGCCCACATAAACTTAACCCTTGTTCATTTGGCCCATGTTAGCCTTTTGAGTTTGACATGCTTGGGCTACAGCAACTAGCATCCAATGTAATTGAGAAATACTGTTTTGTTTTGTAAGCTGCTGAGACCCTGAGATTGTTTGCTGTACAGCAAGTGACTTATATAAACCTCGAAATAAGAAATGGCCCCAGCAGCTCAATGGTTAGAGCATCAGCTATTTCACCAAGGGGTCGTGGGTTTTTAAAAATATGTATTTTTTCATTTATTTCAGAGAGGAAGTGAGAGGGAGAGAGAGAAAGATGGAAACTTCAATGATTAGAGAAAATCATTGATCGGCTGCCTCCTGCACACGCCACACTGAGGATCAAGCCCACAACCCCGGCATGTGCTTTGACAAGGAAATGAACCATGACGTCCTGGTCATAGCTCAACCACTGAACCACGCCAGCCAGGCGGGGTCACAGGTTTGATTCCAGGTCAAGGGCATGTGCCTGGGTTGTGGGTTTGCTCCCTGTTGCCAGTTGGGGCTCATATGGACAACCAATCAATGAGTCTCTCTCACACTGATGGTTCTGTCTCTCTACCTCCCTCCCCCCTCCTTCCTTTCCTCTCTCTGAAAAAGCAATGGAAAAAATATGCTCCCATGAAGGTTAACAAAAAAAAAACATTAAGAAATAATATTCTTTAGTGTTTTTTAGTCTTTATATGGGACACTAATTTTTCATATGAACAGTTTTATAGCTGGAATGAATCTTAGGAATAGGAATTAAAAATCCTCGTTTTATAGAGAACAAACTGAAGACTCAAGTAATTTAATAGCTTGATGATAGAACTAATTACTGTCAGAGCAAGAATGAGAATCTAATTTTCCTGATCCTGAATCTAGTATGCTTCTCAGTGTACACTGGATTCACGGTGAGTTGTTATGCCTTTTTTAGTGTGTTTTCCACAAAATGATTGGTGGGCAGATTTAATGTAGATGAGTCGTAGACATTCTGCATGTGGCCCACCAGCAGGACATCACTGAGGAGGAGGTCAGGGTAACTCACCCTCAAAAGGCTGTTTTCTGGATAAGACTTCCCACATGATGACTGCATAGCTGTTGAATGTAAAATGTACACAGTAGATTACAAACCAGTCCTGTGTGGTAAACTGTAACACCAAATCCAAAAGCTGACTGTGGAGATACTGCTTTTGAAAGTGATAAGGTAGTGAGCTGCTGTGTTAAGAATCAGCATATACAACCAAGATGATGATTATTCAGCTTGTTTTGAAAGGGAATTAATCTTGCCCTGGCCGGTTTGGCTCAGTGGATAGAGGACTGGCCTGTGGACCAAAGGGTCCTGGGTTCGATTCCGGTCAAGGGCACGTACCTCGATTGCAGGCTCCTCCCCGGCAGGCCCTGGGTGGGGCTTGTACAGGAGGCAACTAATTGATGTATTTCTCTCACATCGATATTTCTCCCTGTCTTTCCCTCTCTCTTCCACTCTCCCTAAAAACCAATGGAAAAATATCCTTGGGTGTGGATTTAAAAAAAGAAAAAAAGAAAGGGAATTAATCTTAATTTGAAAAATTAGGAAATTACTGTTACAAAAACTTGAAGTTATATGTAAAAATAATTTAAGAATCATTTAATAATCATTCTTAAACACTTAGATAAGCTATACCCTCTAATTATAGGATTTTATTAGTCACACAAAATAGAGAGCAATAAAAAATGCTGTCCTTTTTTATGATCTTTGTTCTGCCTTCTTGGGTAGTCCCCTCCCCTACCTATATCAAAGTCACATGCGATAAAACCCTGGAGCACGTATATAATAAAAGCCTAAGTGACCATTAAAGTGGAACAACCAGAATGACCAGTCGCTATGATGCACACTGACCACCAGGGGGCAGACACTCAATGCAGGAGCTGCCCATGGTAGTCAGTGTGCTCCCACAGGGGGAGCGCTGCTCAGCCAGAAGCTGGCAAGCAGTGGTGGTAATCTCTCCTGCCTCCGTGGCAGTGCTAAGGAGCAGTGAGCTGAGCAGTAAGGAACAGCGAGTAGGCAGGTGATAAGGAGCGAGGGGTCCCGGACTGCGAGAGGGATGTCTGCCTGCCGGCTTAGGCCCGGAGAGGGCCTAAGCTGGCATGCGGACATCCCCTGAGTGGTCCTGGGCTGCAAGAGGGTGCAGGCCAGGCTGAGGGACACCCCCCGCCCAGTGAATGAATTCCATGAACTGGGCCTCTAGTTACATTATAAATTGATAGGACAATAGATGTGCTTCAAAATGTTTTCAAGGATCTAAATGTGGCTTAAAGCAAGGCATCTTTAAATTCAGAAATACTAGTCACTGTGGGCTCTACTTTATTTTCTCACATGTAGGAAAGAATAAAAATCACACTTTAAAATGGAGCTTCAAAATGCTGTCTGATTGTTCTGGCTCTCAGAGCGGTGAGCACTGAGCAAGCAGCAGTCGCACCTGTATATGTCATGCTTGACACTGGCCCTCGCCTTCTGCCCCGGCTCGTAGTTCTCGGGCGGCATGTAGATGATGGTCCCACCTTCCGGGGCAGCCTTACTATTTCGCGACTGTGACAGGGACATCATGCGCCACTTCGATAAACCAAAATCTGCGATCTGCGAGGGAAAAGAATGAGTGATCGAATTTAAAAGTTTTCTCTTTAAACAATATTACATATATTGTTTTATTTCTACATACTCCACCAGGTTCTTGGATTCCACAGTGCTGAGCCCAATCACGCTAGAAGCAGTACACCTGAGTGAAGTTTAGCACAGTATTACAGATTTCCAAAGAGAGGCTTCTAGAAAAGGAAGGGGAGTATTTTACCTGTATTCTGAGTGAGTGTACACAGTGAACACTTTCCTGTTTCTGACAAGCAGCTTCATACATGTGCTTTTCAAATCCACCTGCAGCTCACAGAGCTAACCTACTCATCACATGGGAGTGTCACTCAAGTTGTTATCACTCAGGTTTATATGTTATTTATAATGTTCTAAAAATAGCATCCTTGCATTTTGAAAAAAGCAGAATTCCTATAGTGTACGGTTCACTCTTCTATGACTTATGCCTACTCTCAAATGAACCACGTCTGTGGGCAGCAGTATCGTTGGCACATACAGCATTATGTCCACGCCAAGGGGCACCTCAAGGATCGCCACTGACAGAGCCCGTGCTCCTGACTGTCCTTCAGTTCTATGCTGCTTGTACATCTCCTGCATGTGTCACACTGTATCTGACCCTAATTATTTAAAAGGTACTTCATTTTTTAAAATGGAAGACAAACGATAAGAACAGAAACAAGTTCAGTGGGTGAGAAACTGTGGCCTTGCAGCATCGCTGTGGGTCTTCAGACCTGACGCTGCGGAGCTCCCAGGAGCAGTGGGCAGCTCCAGCCAGGACTCCCCTGCGCTTGCTGTTTAACGCCTATGTTTTCACCGGTTTTAACAGAAGAAATCATTTGTTCAGTGTGTAGATGAATTTGAGATAAAATATGGTCCCACTTCAAAGAGGGAGGGTTGGACAAGAACAAGTGTTAAAATTTCTTTGAGTCTCAGATGACCCATCTGTAAACTGGGGGGAATAACTGTAGAGCAGTGGTTCTCAATCTTCTGTCCCTTTAAATACAGTTCCTCAAGTTGTGACCCAACCATAAAATTATTTTTGTTGCTATTTCATAACTGTCATGTTGCTACTGTTATGAATCGTAATGTAAATATCTGATATATAGGATGGTCTTAGGCGACCCCTGTGAAAGGGTCGTTCGACCGCCAAAGGGGTCGCGACCCACAGGTTGAGAACCGCTGCTGTAGAGCATGGGGTTGTACTGAGGAAACTGAACAGGCTGAATAGGTACTGCTGCTGTGCTCATCACAGGAATCCATCTCTAAAGGTTGCTCTTGTTCACACAGTGCCACCAATCACAGAGCCAGGCTAAGGCTGAGTGTGAGGGCTCCAGGGAGTACACATCCACTCCATCCCACTTGGCACTGAAACTGTTCCTCCCTCCACCTCTGAAAGCAAAACACTACTCCCGGCGCACGTCTGCCAGGATAAGAAGCATTTCTATGACCAGTAAAGTTTAGCCTTGTGCAGAGAGAAAAGTGCTTAAAAAAACTAGGGTGTAGCCTCATTTATACCTGAGCCCTAATTTGCAAACTGGTCTCCGTGTTGGCTTGGGTGGGATGGGAGCAGCAAAGCCTGAGCTTGCTTCCCATTGCTCCTCTACTTCACACACGGCCTCATCTTTGTCTCCCCCCCTGGCCTGGAGACGTGCCAGGATTCTTGCTCCTCGCTGATGAGATTGGCTTTCACACGGGACCAGGTGTCTCCCGTTCCTGTCACACAGTGTCTCAGATGAAACGCAAGGCTGGTAGGCTGGGTCTCCAGCAGAAGGAAAAGGGGGAGCATGTGTCGGGAGGAATGCAGCTCTGCCAGGCCTGATAACCCCTCTCTCAGTCATGCAGACAGAGCAGCAGGATCCCCCATACACAGGATCTCCACATGCATTTCCAAGCTGAAGGTATTCTTCTCAAACTAGAGAACGTTAAAATACACTACGCGTGACTATCAGCCACAACCCTGCCAGCCTACTGCATCAGCTCCCTCCATTCACACATTCTGTCCTTCTGTGCAAGGAAAACAAGCTGTGAGGAAGCTCCTGAGTGCTCTGGCTCAGGGGAGGGCAGAAAGAACCGCAGACACACACGTTCTTTTCAAAGATGCCTGTCACTGCTTCATTTGTATCTAAGATGCCCTAATGGACACCCACCAACAGATAAGCAAATGGAATGTATACTTTTTAAAGTAGAAAAGTCTCAATTGAGCTTAAATAGTAAACATTTTTGTTTTCTTTTAAAAAATATTTATTGTTGAGAGTATTACAGATGTCCCCTCCCCCCAGCTCCCACCCTGCCCCTTCACCACCTTACAGTCTGTGTCCATAGGTAAGATCTTTGGTTAATCTCTTCCTGACCCCCTCCCCACTTCCCTCTGAGATTCGTCAGTCTGTTTCATGCTTCTGCTTCTATTTTATTCACTGGTTTATTTTGTGCATTAGATTTCCTATTCGTTTATTTTGATTTTTAGAGTTAATTATTGATAGATATTTGTTGTCATTTTATTTTTCATATTTTTTGTCTCTTCTTTTTCTTAGAGTGTCCAACATTTCATGTAGTACTGGTTTGGTGGTAATGAATTCCTTTAGCTTTTTCTTGTTTGTGAAGCTCTTTATCTGACCCTCAATTCTAAATGAGAACTTTCCTGGGTAATCTTGGTTGTAGGTTCTTACTATTCATCACTTTGACTATTTCTTACCACTCCCTTCTGGCCTGCAAAGTTTCTGGCTGACAGTCATATGGGCACTCCCTTATAGGCAACTAACTGCTTTTCTCTTGATGCTTTTAAGATTCTCTCTTTGTCTTTTGCTCTTGGCATTTTAATTATGATGGGTCTTGGTGTGGGCCTCTTTGGGTTCCTCTTGTTTGGGGTTCTCTGTGCTTCCTGGACTTGTAAGTCTATTTCTTTTACCAGGTAGGGGTAGTTTTCTGTCATTATTTCTTCAGATAGGTTTTCAATATCTTGCTTTCTCTCTTCTCCTTCTGGCACTGCCGTAATGCAAATGTTGGTACCCTTGAAGTTGTCCCAGAGGCTCCTTACACTATCTTCATGTTTTTGGAATTTTTTTTTAAGCTCTTCTGATTGGGTGTTTTATGCTTCCTCATATTCCACAAATCATTGACTTGATTCTCAGCATTCTCTACTCTACTGTCGGATCCCTGTAAATTATTCTTTATTTCAGTTAGTGTATACTTAATTTCTGACTGGTCTTTTTCATGTCTGTGGTATTCTCACTAAGATCCTTGAGTAACCTTATAACTATGGTTTTGAACTCTGTATCCAGTAGTTTGCTTGCTTCCATTTCTTTCATTTGTGACATGTTTCGTCTCCACGTTTTTGCTGCTTCCTTGTTTTTGTTCTTTGTATGAGGTAGAGTTACCATGTCTCCTGGAGTTGGTAGAGTGGCCTTGTGTAGTAGGTGTCCTGTAGGGCCCAGTGGCTCAGCCTCCCCAGTCACCTGAGCTGAGCACTCTAGGTGTGACCCTGTGTGGACTGTGTGCACAGTGTTGTTGTAGTTGAGCCTTGACTGCTGTTGGCATCAATGGGAGGGATTGACCTCCCAGCCCAATTGCCTATGAGGACCAGCTGCAACTACAGTGGGAGAGCTGCTGTGCAGGAGACACCCATATGGGGCAGGACTTGCTTCAGTGGGGCTTTGGTGCTCACTTAGTCTGCCCCTTGAGAGTCTCACTTGTGGCTGTGTAGAGTTGTAATCTGCTATGTTCTGAAGCTGTCCATGGGTGCACTGGCTCTAGGGTCACCAGGGAGGTGCAAAGTCAGCCACTGCCTGGGGTCCCCTGGCAGGAGCTACAGAGGGATCTGCAAATGGTGGCTATTTGCAGTTTGTATTGAGTTTGGAGGCCCAGCTGTAAAGCAAGGCAGGCCGGTGCTAGCGGCAGGTCTTGGGCCTTTTATTGATAGGCTTGGGGTATGCTGTCACCAGCTGCAGCTTGTTTGAGAGATATTAGCAAAGTCTGAAGCCTTAGCCAGGACAGGCCATTCATATGGAAAAGCTGCTCCAAACAGCTTGGGTGGGGTTGTGAATTGGATGAGGCGGGGTCTCAAGGAATCCCAAGGGCAGAGCAAACAGTGTGCTCTAGGCTGATGGAGACTCCCATCTGGTTGTTGGTCAGCCCTGTGATAGGGGAGGTCCCATCACAAGAACAATGACCCCTGCAAGAATATCTGTCTGGGAGAAGGCCTCCGTGTCCCTTAGCCACAATCCCTGCTGGTTTTTACAGCCTAAAGTTACAGGGACTTCTCTTCCCAGCTCTGGAACCCTGGGCTGGGGGTCTGGTGTGGGGCTAGGACCCCTTGCTCCTCAAGGGAGGCCTCTGCTGAGATGATCTCCCTCCCAATTAAAGAAATGGCACACACATGGTGTCAGACCAGCCCATTCCAGGCCTCTGCCCTCCTACCAGTCTCAACGTGCTTTCTTCTTTACTTCTCTAGTTGTAGAACTTCCATTCAGCCAGCTTTCAGGTGGTTCTGAATGATAGTTGTTCTGTATTTCAGTTGTAATTTTGATGGGTTGTGGGAGGCAGCGAATACAGGCATTTATCTATGCCGCCATCTTGGTTCTTCTCACACTTCAACATTTTTCTTTTAGATACTATGTTTCTGGTTAGCATTCCAGTAAGAAATTGTACTTAAAAAAATCTGTAAAAAGGTGTAAATTTACATTTAATTTTATTAAGTACTTTTACAGATGTTTTGCACTTCATTTAAAGGTCCTTCCAAGAAGATAAGTAGATGGATAATTCTTACATTTTCGTTAGTCATGATGAATTTTTATTTTTAATATATATATTTAATCCTCACCTGAGGATATTTTTTCCATTGATATTTTGAGAGAGTGGAAGGGAGGGAGAAAGAGACAGAGATAAATGTTGATGTGAGAAGGACACATTGATTGGTTGCCTTCTGCACGTGCCCCAACCCAGGCTGGGGATCAAATCTGTAACCCAGGTATGTGTCCTTGACTGGGAATCAAACCTGT